CTACACAAAGATCTGAGGGCATCCCATTACGGGTCACGTTAGAACGACTTTACGCGAACTTTGACCGACCAATGAAATGTTAAAAAGGAAGTCGACATTAGCCTATCAGAGAGCAGTTGTTCGTGCTTTTCTACACTAGTTTGAAATTCTATTCCCGACTACGCTTTACAAATACTTTGACAAAGTTATTGATTCATGTGGATCGATGCTCATGATGTCAATCACTGGATTGTCTGGCCCAGACACGATTATTTACAGACCGCCGTCATATAGCTGAGATATTGCTGAGTGGGCGTTAAATAAACAAACAAACAAACAAAACTTATTGTGACGAGGTCCAGATTGAGGGACAAGTACAAGTCTGCTCCTCGGTGGGCTAGGCGTTATTGTAGCGAAGGTGGCGTCATCTATAGTTAAGTTCCGTGACACTTTATATTAAATACGATCTTCGAGCGGCTATTTCATAATTTGACGTGGTGTACATTTCTTGGCTAAGTGGAACAAAACATAGGGCAGTACAATCTTTACCAATTATGGATTTGTTTTGCGAAAATTTTAATACAACTATTTTACTTTTAAAATTTCATTGTTACGTCTTTTGATCACGGGTTAATTTAGGTATTCCAACATTTTAGTATGGCTCGATGATTAACCATAATAACCTTCTCGGTCTGATTATTTAAAGTTAGACAGCATTGGTTTCATATACTCAATTAACCTCTCTCCTAGCATACATGTACTTCATCTCCTTGAATATCAAGGTCCTCAGTTGTTATTTTCAAATATGTTCAAATATTCTTATCAGATCAATTCATAAACTTTCTCAGTCCAGCATTGGGGAATCAATGTTGGAACTGGATTTACTAGTTTCAATAGTTCACTTAACTATGGCATTACACAACACATCTGGTTAACGTTGAAGTCGTGACCCCTTTAAAAATGCTGCTCCAATTTGTATACCTACTTTCTGTTACCATCACGTTTTTCCATTAGCAGGCCGTCCTGCTATATGAACTAGGTGAGGTGAGGTGAAATGGGGTTATCGTCGCGTCCAAGATTATTGCACTTATATAGGGTGTGTGTGTGTGTGTGTGTGTGTGTGTGTGTGTGTGTGTGTGTGGCTGCTTGTACTAGTCCGGACTGATGCATTTTATAGTGCTAGCCCACTGAGATACCATGCCGCAGTTTAACATTAATACCCCACTCAGACACAGTTTTCTGACTTCCAGCCGACCAGTCCTTTTTTAAGTTCCTTAATGCCGAGCGCCAGGCAAGGTAACAACAATACCATCTTTTAACGTCTTTTGGTATGATGCGGCCGGGGATCGAGCCTCGGACCTTCCGCTCTCCGGGCGGATGCTTTACCACTAGACCACGGAGGCGGTCTCCATATGAACCAAATATGGAGGGATGAGTCTGTAGGTGTTTAAGACACAGCTACTTTGCTTTTACCCGAGGCGTTTTGTAGCGGAATAAGCCGAGTGGGCATGATAAAGTGATCAAATAACTCGGGTTAAGCAAATCGTGTCTCGCCGCCAAACTGACCGGAATAGTGGCCGTATACACCAGAGGCTATGTCAATAATGAACAATAGTAGTTAATAATTAAGGTAGAATTGCCACCTGTGGCAATTTGTGCCGTATGGTATGAACCTATTGAAGGACCTAATTAACAGCAAAAATAGGCCATAATAAGTAGTTCCAACACTGGTCTGGTGGGAACAACGCTTAGTTTATTCTACATGTATCGTAGACTATGCTATCGGAATTCAGAAATACCAACGACAACAACAACAACATCAACAACACCTTACAGCTGATGATAACTAAACAAACTCATTCTCTTTTTCAGGGCTTTAGGAAATAGGAAAGTCTTCAATTACAAACATGTTTGTTAAAATTGTGCTAAGGCAGCATTGTAGCTCTCTTGTGTATGTAGTCAGCGGCTTAATCCTTTACAATGACAGATCCTCAATGGAAGATACACTGTCAGCATCGATAGTAACATACAGTAAAGTACGTTTATAACGAACACGCTTATAACGAACTGACCTATATAACGAACTTATATTTAAGTCCCGACCATTTGTTGTATAAATGCTGTATATATGCTTATAACGAACTACGGTTATTACGAACCAAAATTAGTGGTCCCTTTGAGTTCGTTATAACCGTAGTTTACTGAATCTGGAAACCTATTGGAAATATCATGACACAGGTAACTAAATAAAGGTGTATAACATTGTTGTAATTTGATTTCTTTTTACATTTTCAACTACAAGATGAATACGCTTTCTAAAAAAATACTTCACTTAGTTTAGTCATCACGAAGAGCTAGTATTTTAATGACTTAACTCTTCAAACGTCTTATGCGGAGATATTATAGATTTTGAGAAAAAGCGAAAACTCTATATAAGTTGATTACCACAATGTCTGGAATAAATCTTCTTTAGCCATTGTCCGTCACACAAATGACATTTTAGAAGAAGAATTTCAACATTTAACGATTTTCATATACATTTTCAATCCACAAAAACAACAATGAAACACAATGTGTGAACAAACTATGGAAGAAATATGCATACCAAATGTCAACTTCATCGGTCAAGGAGTGTTTAGAGAAGTTTACAGAAGCCAGAATGCAAAGTTCAAAGATTAAACTGCACTAATTAAATTGAGGACATTGTTCATTAAAAAACTGATTAAAAAACATAATAAGTCTAACCCAAATACAGACTATATATGCACCAAATTTACCGTGGACCACATACATATTCAAAATGGCCATTTATAGCTTTTCCAAAATAGCCGTGGCGGCCATATTGAAAATAGGAAATCTTGAAATTAACACGTTGTCCTCATTCAAAGGGACGAATCCGATACAAATCTAGGGAATGTTTAGACCACAGGCCTTTGTGTACAAACATCTTGAGTAAGGACAGTCATGGCCAAAGAGAACGACGTGATGTTCTTCTAGAGACTTTAAAAAAAAGTATTTATAACTTGTTCCAGGTATGGCCAAAATAAAAATGTTCACTGCACATGATGGTGGTCATGAAACAATTGTTTTATGACTCTTTAAAAAATGGCCCCTTCTTTCACAATATCATTAAAATGAGATGTTGGTGCTCGCTTCCGATACAGATGGACCCGAGGACATCCCGTTACAAGTCACGTCAGACCGACCTTTCCCCCATCCAATCAGAGCGTCGCTTACCAGATCGAAAAAAGTGAAAGTCCGAATGTGTTTTCTAATCATGCAACCTCGAAAAGGTCACGGGCTCTATGACAGATTACTTCCAAATCACCGTCTATCCCTTGTTTCAATGGGATAAGCATTTGAAGCGAAAGAAAATTCATAGCCCGTATGTACTGCCATACAATCTCGGGCATTCATTTTACTATTGGACAGTGAAATGTCAAAAATATTTTTCAAAGCGTAATCTGGAATGGAAGTCGCCAGATTGAAACTAATGCCGTAAAGCTCGTAAAACCTGCTTTTTGATTGGCTAATGTCGACTTGATATTAGTGATTGTATTTGTCGGTCAAAGTTCGCGAAAGTTCTGACCTAACCTGTAATTTAATCTTCTCAGATCTTTGTGTAGCGGTAGCGAGCTCTAAGATCTGAGTGTAATGTTTTTCCGAATGTGAAGATCAGTTAAAATTTGCTTACGAACATGATTGGCATTGATCTTTAGCAAATAGTTCTAAAATGTTCCATTATTGTTCCAGAGTTGTATTTGTCTGCTATCACTATAAACAAATTTCGTGTTGCACTAGCCCAGTTTCGCTGTAGCTCCCACACTCTCCACATTGAGACTGGTAGATACGTTAATACTCTACGAGAGCAGAGATTGTGCAATAGTTGCAATCAAAGATATATCGAGAATGAATATCATTTTTTATTAATTTGGAACGCTTATGATGAACTTCGTCTTCAGTATTCACCACAGAAGTATTTTGTACATCCTACTCTTGACTAAATTCAATATGCTTATGGCGGTAAACAATGAAACTGTTATTAGAAATGTTGCAACTTTTATATACCATGCTATGAATGTTAGACTCCAAACACTAAGCCTATAAATGTTAATGATGGACCAAATATTGTACCATGGGCCGCTGGCCTACACATGTACATGAATAAAGAATTGAGTGTAATGTTATTGCTTGTTTGAAGGAATATATAATGTCAACGCCATGTCTCGATTATCTGCCCCTACAGATTCCATGGGCGTTAAATAATGGATAATGGATCTTAGAAAATTAGTGAAGACACAAGTGTAAAAGGATAAGCGTGTACTGCTTTACCGGTTGAACCCGCGACTCACAATGAGCGTAAAAACAGTAAGGGAAGACATTGTATTTCCTAACGCAATGACAGAAAACATTTCTCGCGAAAAACCCAGTCTCACCTCCTTCCCCGAATGGTAGTGAGTAAGTTTGGTTTAACGCCGCTTTGAACATTATTCCTGTTATTTAACGCCGTGTCAGCTTAATGTGGGAGGAAAGCCAGAAGGGGTTCAGGTCTAAGACGTGAACCACTGAAATCCTCGAGCACGGGTATATATGACAAATCTAGAAGAATATAGGGTCGAATCAGGAATCGAACGCCTCATTATCAGGCGACTGGGCCATCCGCCCTCCTTCCCTGTCCCTCGAGCTCTCCGAATATGAAATGGTTGGTAAGTAGTTTAGTTTGGTTGGGCCAAGGTGAATTTAAATTGGTGTTTGACAAAACAAGATTTACTCACACATCTGTATTGCGGTCTGTAAATAATCGAGTCTGGACCAGACAATCCAGTGATTGAAATCGTTAACATCGATCCATGCAATTGGGATACGATGACATGCATCAACCAAGTTAGCGAGCCTGACTACCCTATCCCGATAGTCGCCTCTAACGACAATAATAGCGTTTTACGACAACCGTGGGTTGCTGAAGACCTATTCTAACACAGATCTTCACGGGTCCTGGATTGAACAACACATGTACATACCTTGAGACGGAAGATAACTTTCCCTCAACATGGAATAGTCACTAGGGTCCATCACACAAACTACTTCCGGAATATTTGGACCAAGGATGTCCACCACAGGTTTCGAGTACACAACTGAACTGATCGTCTGACCCACAGACCCGGATGTATATTCCTCCCAGAATGCATCCAATACTGTTGCGTTGGGCATGCGCATTAGAAACAACATTCCGTCGTCAACCCAACGAGATCGTGCGACAATCACGTGATGGACTGTTGTGAGGTAGTGAGCCGTGACGAATACTGGGTCGGGGACGCGTTTTGGCATCAGCTGGAAGTACGTCCCACGCAACGTCGACATCAACGTCTCCAGCGTGCATGTATCGTCGCCGGCTGGTACTGAGGTGACGTTCAACGTCACAAACAAGGACAGTTTTCCTGTGAATGTAGAACATATCCATGATTAGTCAAGTACAGAAGCATATTTGGAATTATGATAATAACGTTGAGTCTAATTATAACGTAGACGTCTGACATTTTTCACGTCACGTGAAAAGGAGTCTGTTGTAAGATGTATTAACAATCTTATTTCGTTTATATGTAAATCCCGTTTCGTCTAAAGTGACAATGCCACTTTTGTACTAACTGTTTTTGGCGCTAGTAATAAAGGCATGGCGACCATCGCCTATGAACCAAAGCATGTCATCGTTTACCGTTCATCAAGCTTATAAACAAGCAACTATCATAACATGGTGGCAGCGGTAAACAAGATTAATCACCAGGATTACGCCATGAGTGGCGGACAGCGCTAAACACGCAAGTTTGACCATCAAACGAACTTTTGCCATACCGGCAAGAAACACGAGTGTAACCCAGTTTCGTTTTCGAACTTTTGGTGTCATCATTAACCAGAAGCATGTCTCGAATTTCTCTTATGGACTGGCAACAGGCGGATATCGGCGAATCATTCAGTTTATTCAAACAGACTTTGCAATTATTCTGTGAGGATGAAGAAATTACTGACAAAGAAAAAATCGCTTTGAAGATAAAACGTGGACTTGGCAACGAGGGTTTTAGTGAACGTGACCTAAAAGATCCAGATAAAATATGGACTTATTTCGAAAAACAACTCAAATTACAAGTTAATTTTAGAGTGTATAGACTTGAGTTGATGCAATTCAGACAAAAGGAGGAAGAAAACATAGATGAATTTGTAACCAGGTGCAAGACACTAGCATTAAAGTGCGAGTTCGATGAACCAAAACTTCAAGAAAGAATATTGGAATTGCTAATTGCTAGCACTCCTTTTGAGGCTCTACAACATGATTTGCTGAAACAAACCAAAGGCTATAGTCTCTCCAATGCTCTAGAAGAAGGTCGGCGATATGAAGCGATCAGCGCAGGTCATCGTCAAGTCAAAGATCTCAATCCAACACCAGCTACCACTGCCGAAGTAAACGCCATCAACCACAAGTATCGAACCTGTCAGAATTGCGGTCTGAAACACAAGCCACTTGTGATGTTACATCAGAAACCCATCAACCAGGCTCCACCGAGACTCCAGCGAATGTTCTTGAAGCTCACAGGATACAACTTTGATCTATCATATCGACCCGGCAAGGATATGACGTTAGCAGACACCTTGTCGAGACTCCCGAATCCTGAGAACACAGCTGAAGTCCAACTTGATACCAGAGTGGATGGAATCAGTCTCTACGATGTTGATGATTGTAGCATGGATCTAATCAACTTTTGAACTTCAATGCAAGAACATCTCAAGAAAGCTACATGTGCAGATACTACTCTCAACCTACTGAAGGAAATGGTACATACAGGCTGGCCCGAGAACATCAAGTCTGTCATGCAAGTACTAAGACCATACTGGGCATTCAGGGATCAGTTAGCAGTTGAAGATGGCATCATCTTTAAAGGTCGTCAAGTGCTCATACCAGAATCTCTTCAGGAAGATATTCTCACACAGCTTCATGCGCCACATGAGGGTGTTGAGAAAACCAGGAAATTGGCTCGTGAATCAGTCTACTGGCCGTTAATCAACAAAGACATTGAGAAATTAATCAAATCTTGTGCTTCTTGTCAAGAACTGATGCCACAGAACAAAGCTGAACCACTGGAACCTCATGAGATACCATCAGCTCCATGGCGCAAAATTGGAACTGATCTTTTCCAAATTCGAGACAAGCACTTTCAGGTTGTCACAGACTATTTCTCAAAATATCCTATCGTAAAGCAGATACCACATCCAGTAAGCAGTCAAGCAGTGACTAATGAACTGAAGTTCATGTGTTCTATCCGGGGTAAGCCCGACACTGTCATTAGTGACAACGGAACACAATATAGTGGGCACCCGTTCCAACAGTTCTGTCTGAACTGGGGAATCACACATGTGACGTCGTCGCCACACTATCCAAGATCAAATGGTCTGGCGGAGAGGATGGTCGGAACAGTAAAGCCAATCGTCAAGAAATGTCTTATGAACGGCCAAGACATTGACAAAGCATTGTTACATCTCCGTGCTACTCCCATCGCAACTGGACTCCCATCACCAGGTGAAATGCTAGTTGGTAGACCTCTCACTACCACACTGCCCTCCAGGCAGGAAACAAGTGTTCGTGCAGCGGAACAGCGCGAACGACTGAGAGAAGCTCAATCATCCATGAAGAATCATCATGATCGTACCTCACTACATCATGAACTACCTCCACTGCTCCCAGGACAATCTATCAGATTTCACAACCAGGAAACTCGAACATGGATTCCAGGGACTATTGTGAAAGTTGACCAGTACAATCCCAGATCATACATCATTTCAACAGCAGCGGGAAGTGTTCTACGTCGCAACCGAAGTCAACTTCGAGAAACAGCTACAACACAATCTTCACAAACTACAGCAGCAACTAATCAAAGAAATCTCCCTATCAAGCTCTCCACTCCACAACCAGATAACAACAATAACAAGTCAATAACAACAACTCCTAAGAAGAAAGTCACTTTCGCTACCAAACCAGTCACCAAGCTCATCCAACATTCAAGCAATCAGCCACAACCCGAACAGCAATTGAAGAAATCAAGAAGTGGTCGTGTAATCAAGACACCACAGAAACTCAGAGACTGATGTAATATCTTCAGTTAATGTGTCTGATAATGTAAAAATTTCTGTTATCATGGACTCCAAAGTTAATTTCATGTGTTATTGCAAAAGTGGATTGCAATGTGTGTTTATTTCTTTATTTCAGGTTATCAGTGCAAATGACTCTAATCTGTGAACTGTACTACAAATCAGTAATTGTTCATCTTAGCCATCTAGTGTATTGAACATACACATCCCCATTGTGCAATGGAGTTACCAGACTTTTTCACCATAGACAACTCCAGTATTTTATCTAGTCATTATCCAAAGACTCTAGATACTCAAGGTGCTATCAGCATTTGTGTTTATGTATAACCTAACCTTCTTAAAGGAGGGGAATGTTGTAAGATGTATTAACAATCTTATTTCGTTTATATGTAAATCCCGTTTCGTCTAAAGTGCCAATGCCACTTTTGTACTAACTGTTTTTGGCGCTAGTAATAAAGGCATGACGACCATCGCCTATGAACCAAAGCATGTCATCGTTTACCGTTCATCAAGCTTATAAACAAGCAACTATCATAACAGAGTCCAAAACATATGAAAGCGAGAAATCAAAAAAGACTGAAGGTCATAATGACCTCATTTCCCGAGACAAGAGAGTCAACTGACTTTCTAAGTCCAGTTTCCACCTTTGCCGAACTTGGCTGTTATCATTGGGTTACATTTTTGCTGGACTAACGAGTCTATGCATAGTTCAATCAAAATCGTGCAACAAAATCGAAATTCGGTTCGTAAACTGTCGTGCAGATTTCGGTCGATTGGAGGATTTGCAAAGCATGCGCACCGCCAACTTGTTGTCAACAGTAGTTTTCCAAATCTTTCCATGTTTTTAATCAAGGTGCTCACGTGATTTGATGCATTTCGCGATGTAAGACCCGTTGTATCACAATATAGATCATGATTATCGATCAGATCTTCCTGCCTTGGCGCCGCCATTTTGTTTGAAGCAAATGCAAGTGATACGAGAGGTGAAATCTGACTGGTCCATAGGAGAGGCTTAGAAGGGACATAACTCATAATAAAAACTGGTGGCGCTACGATCGAGCCCAGGAATTCCAGCCTAGTTTGGCAAGGGTGGAAACTGGACTTTAATAGTCAGTTAACTCATTTGCCTCAGGAAGATATAATGACCTCAGATGATAAGTTCACCGATCAAATGAGCCGTCGCCATCGAGCCACATACAACCGTCCTCGATCACTCAGTGTAGTTTATCTCCTCCCTATTATAATAAACACTCTAGACCCATTCACCACAGCTTCGTTTTAAGCCTGATTCGAATGGAACACGCTAAGTACAGCAGTCCAAACTCTTTACACTCAGCGAGCGAATTTGATAAGAGAGAAGATAGTGACGTCACTACCAAAATGAAACGATGGCTGTGATTGGGTCCTTGGTATTTTATTTTTATTTTACACTAGAAATTCGAGGACGTAATATAGATGGATTAAGAATGATTACTACAACCTTAATGCTTACCGATAATGAATACGTTTTTAATCGTGGGTGACTGTTGCTTTAACGTGTCTGTCAGCAATACTCCGGCTACATCACGCCTGCCTGTAAATAATTCAGTTTGGACCAGCGGAACTAGTCCAAAGCCTGCTTAACATCAGGATCCGATGTACAGCCACTCTTATCATCCGATCCACACTCATGTGGCTCTGAACCAGCTCTAATACTGAGTCACCATGTGGGTCACATGTACATGATCAGTCGTCACAAGATCGAACATGTAAACCTTTCTCCAATTTGGTCGACTCAAAATCCATGTGAGAATTTGGACTCTGTCTGCCTCGAAATCTCTTGTTCGAAAAGGGGAATGAGCAGATATGTTATCAAGAACCATTCAAGTAGTCTTTATGTCATTCTTATGGGAAAATATGACAATTTATGGCATTTACACATGAAGCATTGGCGTCACGTAAAAAGGGTGTATGCATATGAACAAGGTTCCTTGTCTTCTCAAAGAAAACTTCAACAGTTATCTAAATATTTTTAGGGTCTGTCAAATCCATTTGTTAGATGCATTGGGTGATAAAAGGTTCATGCCACTTGGTTAAACGTGATGCGTGCATGCTCTGAACTTTGTCTATATAACCAGATTCCGTCGCTAGTTCTTCTTAAGCATCATGCAATTTGCGTTTAGAATTCCGAATTCCAGTAGAGTTATGAAAGTAATAGGATTGTAGCACGCTCGATGTCTCTGGTGTCCCATTAGGCAGAGTAGTCCATCAGGGTGATAAGAATCCAATTCACCAAAGATTGCTGGCAGGTATCAAATTCATTTGTGTGTATTTGTGTGAGCATGAAGACCGATTTCATTTTGAAAAGGCTACAAGTCAATATTTAAATACATGTGGCTTGAAGTAGTACAAAGTACCTGCCTGTGGGGCTTTATCCCCATTGGAACCAGGATAATGTGAAATCATGGGAATTCAAATTGACACGATAGGCGGCGTGATGATTGTAATTAGGAATTTCTTGAATTCATTGTATTTACACTTCATGGACATTTACTTCGAGTGTAGTCCCACACCAAGCTGACGCGCCGTGCTATAGCTGAAGTACTGGTCAAAACAGTATGAACAAACCTCACTGTCTCTGACACCATCTGGGCATACTCAGCGAGAGTGCATTTGCATACATTGGTCTGAGTGAGTGGGCTGGTGTGTGTTGTTTAACAACGTACTCAGCAATATTCCAGCTATATGACGGTGGGAGTGAGCTTGTGAGTGAGTTGGTGAGTGAGCTTGTGAGTGAGTGAGTGAGTGGGTGAGTAAGTGGGTGGGTGGGTTGGTGGGTGGGTGGGTGGGTGAGTGAGTGAGTGAGTGAGTGAGTGAGTGAGTGAGTTGGTGGGTGGGTGGGTGGGTGGGTGAGTGAGTGACTGACTGAGTGAGTGAGTGAGTGAGTGGGTGGGTGGGTGGGTGGGTGAGTGAGTGAGTGAGTGAGTGAGTGAGTGAGTGAGTGAGTGAGTGAGTGAGTGAGTGAGTTGGGTTTAACGCCGTTTTTAACAGTACCCCATTTACCTTAATGTGGAAGGAAACCTCAAAGTGATGCAAGGTTTCAAACTTTTACCACTTTGATCAAACTTGGGATCAAGGGCATTATGATAAAAAAAAACGAAACGCAATCAGAACGAATATGAGATTCGAACCTTTGCAACGTTATTTTCTCTAGACATTTCATACAGAAAGGAATCAGAAACCCCTAGTGCATTTGACATTGAACTTGAATGCAAACAGTCATCTGCTCACTGCTCACTTTGCGAAGTTAATTTTCTTCGTTCAAGTAATAGGAAATAGGTTAACTGATTGAAAACGTCGTTAAGGTTAGGGGCTTAGCATAACATATATATCTTAACGGCACATGGTAAGATGTTTGGATGAACGATTAACCATACACTCAGTTTGACAGCAACACGTAAATAGGGACTCGTCGCGGGTCAAGCGGCTACCACTGTAACTTTAATTCCAGGCATTCAAAACCCACTTGTCTGTTCAGAAATTAATTACAAGCGATTCCATGGCGACCCGGATTTAGACAGTGTGCACATCGGGTTTTACGTCAACTCATCCGTAAACGCAAAAGCATAGTTTATTGTAGTCACTTCTTAAATAAATGACAATACTAATCTGTAAAGGTTTGGCAGTTATCAAATTCGGTTCCTGTGGTCCATAGCCGCCTATGCTTGTCGTAAGAGACTGAATGGATCGGGAGATCAGGCTCGGCTGAATGCATGTCATCGTACCCCGACGGTTGGGAACGTTACTCATCATATCAATCACTGGTTTCTCCAGTCCAGACTCGATGTGTTTACAGACCGCAGTCATATATATGTCGCGTAAATTCGTATTTGAATAAAGAAGAGTAAATCCTAATATTTGATTCTGTTCAAAACTTCATATTAAAAACTGGCAGATTTTCAGTTAAATGACTTGTTTAATATAAACTGCAAATAGATTTATTATATGTACACATCTAGCGTGGCATGTACAATTCATTTATTACATCTAACCTTCATTCATGCCTTCATTGTAATATGACCTATGTGTGACGGAGCGGTATTAACATAAGCGCTTCGCTTGTTTACCAATCCATTTTCACACTTTTGTTAAATATGTTTAAACCATATACATGTCGCTGGTCTTTGCTGAAAGTGGAGTTAAACTCAAACCAACATACATACGCAAAAAACCCATAGCAATTTACAGGAATTATACTGTATTATAGCTAAAATGGACAGAATTATCATTAAACTGCCCGCATGTTATCAGACATGAGCGGGCCACTGTAACTTGACAATGCCCTCATATTGTTTGACGACGGGCCATTATCACGCCCGTTGTTAGGTGACGTCATTTGATGTTCAATAGTGACGTCATCTAGATCTGGTTTGTTCTATGACGTTTCCATATTTGTAAAAGTTGGTCAGTGACATTCGTTGTTTGTTGATTGCAGTAAATGAAATTCTATTCACTTTAGCTATAATAACGATAACGCTATTTTCAGGGCATTATCAATTGCAGAAGCCCTCGCTCTTTTGTTAATTGGAGACCTCGGGCTTCTGCAGATGATAATGTCATGAAAAGTAGCGTTACCCTTATAATAGTGTGGCATTATTTTGACTTACCCCGGAATACAGAATATTCCCCCAGTCCATAGAACGGCCCCACCGCCATCATGATCTGCAGGATGTACAAGCCGGCTGCGAGGATCTTCAGGTTGCGGACGGAGAACGTGGAAGAGTGTTCGGCTGGTGCCCGTACGTAAAGATATCTGAAAACACATCACCAGACACGACTTCATACATTGTGTGACAGTTTGATTTAGCTATACATTACAGTTGGGGTCACAGGAAGTGGGTTTCACACATTGTACCCATATCGGCGTAAGGAACGAACGCTTTAACCACTAGACCACTCCACTGCCTCACATTGTATTAATGGGATTCGACCTCAGGTCAATGTCGTTACGTGCCAACGCTTTAACAACAAGGCTTCCCAGTGCCCCTTGTAAGACATTGATGTATGTAACAGTTTATAATATATTTTAAGGTAAATTATCATTTTTGCATGTTCCAGAGGTTTGTTCTGATCATAGAGACTATGGATTTTTAAATGAAATTGTATACTAATTAAAGTTGTGTTGAGGGCCAACCCTAAATGTTGCATGTCGTAGACGTTTGCCAATGTGTTGAAACACATGGGCATACTGTTCAAAAACCAAGAATCCCATGGCATTCGGATACTGGCTTAAGTAAGGGAAGCAACTCTGTGTAGACGACTGTGCCACTCAATTAAGATGACCAGGCTCAATGTACGTGGTCCTTCCATTAACTAGATAGTTTAACATAATGAATGGATCACAGATCGGTAACAATTCCAGTAGAAAGTTTTTAAATGGCATGCGTTTTTTAGATCATATTTCAACATACGATTAGTTTGGAATCAACTTTCAAAAGCAACTGGCATGCATAACGTTAGAACACTTTAAGTATTGTCTTTCCGAAATCGTTTCTGAATTCAATTTCGAATCATTTGGAACCACATTTCGTAAACAACTGGACACATTCTAACGTGAGCCTATTTGGTAAGTATTACCTTTCCATGGCAATGATAGCCAACATCCAGTTCGCTCCCCCAGCAAAAACGTGGTCAAACGTTGCAAACACCTCACACGACAATGTTCCTTGTAGTGGGCCGTCTGAAAAAAACATGGTAATGGTAAATCTGCAGCCGATCAACCATATGTTGAAGGATGGGTGAGAGAATGAATAGAAAGAAACATAACATGTTTCCTTGGACCACTTGAACAAAGCGATCATAGCGCTCAGTCTGTTGCAAGTAACAATGTTCATGTGCCCAGGGCCCTGGAACAAAGCGATCTTCTCTCTAAGACGACTTTAACTCTAAACCGCCTCTAAACCGGAGAGCGGAAGGTCCGGGGTTCGATCCCCAGCCGCGTCATACCAAAAGACGTTAAAAGATGGTACTTGTTGTTACCCTGTCTGGCGCTCGGCATTGAGGGGCTAAAACAAGGACTGGTCGGCTCGGAGTCAGTAAACTGTGTCTGAGTGGGGTATTCATGTTAAACTGCGGCATGGTATCTCAGTGTGCTAACACTTTAAATCGGCATGAGTCCGGACTAGTACAAGCAGACACACACACACGTGCATGCACGTCGCTATAAAAGTGCAATAATCTTGGACGCGACGTTAAACCCAATTTCACCTCACCTCACCTTAACTCCAATACTTTAACATTGACTTGCGACAGTCGTAACGCTAAGATCGCTTCATGTAACTGGACCCAGGTTGAGTAAACCATGGTGAAGATAGTTAGATGGGTTTAACAACTAGTTCAGTTACATCACGGCTTGTCAGTTTCATGTGGGAGTAAAGTCCTAAAACATGCAGACCCAAGACGTTTAGCACTGTGCTGAAAGCCACGAGCAGGTGTATGGCGCTGAAAGACCAAGAATTATATTCAAGGAGTATCTTGGATTGGAACTAACGACCACAGGATATCCTTACACATCTAAGGGACGCAGAAAGAAAAGATGTACCTTCATCAGTTCCCGTAAATTATCTGATATATCGCCATGGCGATATGCACGTTCCGCGACTTATATTACAGTCATTATTTCATCATAACCATTATTTACGCGCTTTTGTGAAATATCTGGTATATCCCATATTCATTCCCATTTATTATGTATGTACTGTTATCGTGTAAACTCATCGTATAACGTCATCGTTCAAAGTTCACGTGTAATGTCATGATATAATGCATTGTCATCGTATAATGTCATCATATAATGTCAATATGTAATGTCCTGTCATGTCATCATGTAAAGTCTCCATCTAATGTCATCGTGTAAAGGCATTGTGTAATATCATCATTTAATATAATCATGTAAAGTCATCGTGTAATATCATTGTGTTATGTCATCATGTAAAGTCACCGTGAATATATCATCGTGTAATGTCATTATTTAATGTCATCATGTAGAGTCACCGTGTAATATCATCGTGTAATGTCATCATTTAATGCCATCATGTAAAGTCACCGTGAAATATCATCGTCTAATGTCATCATAGAAAGTCTTCATATAATGCCAGGAAAGGATAAAATATATATCATGCATGGAATATGTACTCTGAAACTAGAAAGGGAACAGAAACGCACAGACGGAAGTCAATCAAGGCATAAATAACGCTCACAGCATGTTTTCCTCAAGCTTCATGGCCACCATTGCCTCCTACAAACCACAAAGAGAACACTGAATCAACCCTTGGTTGCAAGCCAAATAGAGCCTTTGTGGACTCGTGAACATTCATTATCTTCCACGCCTCTGTCACAGTCGATCTACCTGACTGCACAATGATATGAGATTACATTTGATTGAAAACAGTATACATGCATGTCACGAGTGCAGAATGTTCGAGCTTCATTCATAAAAAATGTCAAGGGTTGAAGTCATTCCATGTTGGTTTACATTTGGAAGCATTTACTAACAAAATCACGGCCTCGAGCGAGTTAGTGTTATACTATCATTTGCGAGTGACATTCATCCGTGGTTTCGAGTGACAACCAGATGAGTGAATTTATTTCCCCGTTGCAGTTTCTTTAGAAAAAACGTTCACCACTAACCTTGGGAGATCGATCAGTTTTTGTTACCCATTATGGAACATTCTTTAAGTAAATTAAAGTATTGACTTGTAGTGTAGTTTCCAACGTTATTTATGAAACAAAAACCAGAGGTGGGCCGATTGACGCTTTGCAGATGTTGTTTGCGCTTTTGTATCGACAGTTTAATAGGATTTCTTTTCACTGAAATGAAGTTGACTTGAATTGCGAATTTTAGATTCAAAAGGTAATTTCCTACATCTAATCTTAGAACGATTTTTATAACATGCACAAACATACACACATACGCACACACTAACATTCTTGAAAAGAAAATGGATTGGCTGACAAGCACCTCATGAGTGAAAGAGCAAATACACGTGGAGACGCTTAATGTTCGAATACAGGCATGCCCTAAAAATCCACTTATCAGATTATTAACACAGCGATTTGTCTTTCGTTAGCTGATTTATTGGATGGATAATATTCATTCGTGATTTACACCATTTTAAACCCTCAGTAGAAATCTCATCAGTTCTAATTTGAAAAAAAGTTGATCATGATTTATTGTCTGTTAACTCATAAAAAGTAGAAAATTATTCCATTTGTTTTTCCTTGATGTTCGAAAGACGTAGGCAGGTGTCTGGGCTGCTCAAGGAAACACATAGTTAAGATGAATTACTAGTCTTGTTGAACAACAGATGTCATCAGTCTTTCACTAATGAAACAAAAAACCGTGGGGCGGTTGACAAATCAAAGATGATCCCTGGCCTACGAGAAGACAGGAGCTGAGGCCACGGAATCAATACCGCCAGTCAGTGTAGGTGTGGAACTCAGTATTGAGAAGACTGTTGATATGAGAATACGTGATCGGCGTCCACAATCAAAGATACGACTTTCCGGTTCCTTGTCAATATACAGTGGGTCTATAAATTGCAGCAATACTCGACATCCTAGTCTAGTGTGTGAAGGGTCTTTGACATGAAGACAGGAACACCATTTGGTGATGGATGAATACGTAATATAAAATTAATCGGAATGTGTGAATTAGCATCGTAAGCCGTGCTGATTAACACAATTAAGTCGATACATTGAATAACTCGAGTCTATATGTACAAATAATGAGGTAACTGGACAAGACGAATTCCGTGTCTTGATCTGGATGTAGCCACTGACGTGATTCGAATAGTAGGCGTTTTAGGTGGTTCGATTATGAAGCTGATGAAAGTTCCCATACGCATTACTATCACCACAGAAGCACTGATTCTCTAAGACATGTATTGTATTACATCGACAGGACTATTGACAACGAAAGGAGAAATACATTTTCGTCAACTTTACTGATATCGTGGAAATCCATAATATCATAACAGTATCCAATCACAAAGCTGTGTTAATTACAATCATCCACTGAATTGCGATATATAGAATCGAGCTATTATCTGTACAGATTTAATTTTTTTTTTATAAAACGCTTGTCTGTTATGTACAAAAATGTATCACAACACGATTTTCTTCATAACAATGTTTAGAAGCAAGCATATCTTTATTCCAATTTTGATTAGTATACCAAATGTGTGTTGTATGGTGGATATCGCAATGTATATATGTGTGTGTATATATATACACACACACAGGTGTGTGTGTGTGTGTGTGTGTGTGTGTGTGTGTGTGTGTGTGTGTGTGTGTGTGTGTCTGTCTGTGTGTGTGCATTGTCCAGCTTCCGGATAGGAAACATAGGAGAGAAGCATGTACCATGAATAACCTGTTGTGTACCAGTCTACCTTGCAGTGTTGACAGCACATTATACCATTACACGCCTCCGACTACACTGATGGATGCCGGTGTACAAAGAGATTGTGGCGCTAAGGTATGCTAATGATCATCGTAGCGCTGAGGTCGTTTGTACAACGGCACCCTGGAAGACATTATTTGTTCACGAAACGTCACTCTGCAGCCATCATCAATTATCTCTATTCTATTATTGTAAATACCCCGGACCCACTCCCAACCAAAGCGTCAGTTGTGTTTGTTTTGTTTGTTTGTTTGTTGTTTAACGCCGCACTCAGCAGCAATATTCCAGCTATATGACGACGGTCTGTAAATAATCGAGTCAGGAGCAGACAATCTAGTGACTGACATCATGAGCATCGATCCACGCAATTTGGATTGATGACATGCATCAACCAAGTCAGCGAGCTTGACCACCCGATCCCGTTAGTCACCTCTTACGACAAGCATAGTTGCCTTTTATGGCAAGCATGGGTTGCTGAAGACCTATTCTACCCCGGATCTTCACTAGTCCCATTCAGTAGTGATGTCACCATCGCCAGCCCTTTAACTTCCTACTGCCACGCAAGCTGTCTCGCTCATGAGAGTTATTTAGTATATTTTCAGCAATCATGCCGTTCGAATCGTGCTGAGGAAAGAAGCGATGGTAGCGTAATGGTCCAAGGTATTATTATGAAAATGGAAATGCAATATCCTGCTTAATCGAGGATGATCTGCATTAAGTATTCCAAAACTTCTATTTACTTGAAATTTGACTGCAACATGTGCAGCAACAATTCCTGTAACAAGCAACCTGTTTTGGTTGAGATGATGTCATTCCCAGGAATCAGGAGTATCAGGTACAGAAGCTGGTACCTTAGAGAAAAATTAAGAGCGAGATTTGAGATACAATCGAGCATGCTCTTTCTACCAAGATTTCAATGAGCATCAATCGACTCTTGCTCAGAAGTTGTTTGCTCAAGGTCACAACATTCAAGGCCTCAGTAAAGCTTTCAAAACGTTTTATGTTAGACATGTGGAGGACATTTCCAAAATTGACGCATCATTGCCAAAATGATATGCGATGCAATTCCCTACATAGACTCGTACCATATATTCCCATATTTTTTTCAGGTGAACAATTGGCTTGCCTTTGCTTGTTTGACGGGTGCCACCTGTGGGGTAGGATTCGCTCACCTTTTCCCGAACACCTTGTATCATTACCATTTCATATTGATTTATAAACACTTGCTCATGATATAGTCGGAATCGTACAATCGACTCCGCTTTATACAGACATTTCTA